CCATTGATGACAACCGTGAAACGGGTGTACATGTCTCCGATGGACCACTTGGTTTCATCCGGAAAAGTTCGTAAGAATATACAAGAATATTGATTTTGGACTCTTTCACTCGGCTAGTGCCTTCATGAGTGACCTCAAGAGTTCTCCAAATATCAAAAGCTGAATCGCAAATCGAAATGTGATTAAATTCATTTTTGTTAAGTGCACAAAACAAGGCATTCATAGCCTTTGCATTTAAAGCAAAAACCTTCTTCTCCGATTCATCCCATTCGCTCATCGAAAGAGAAGATTTTTGAAATCCATTTTCGACAATATTTCAAAGCTCAAAATCCATGGAAATAAGGAAGATCCTCATACGAGTCTTCTAATACGTGTAATCCGACGCATTGAACATAGGCAGACGTGTAATAGAGTGACCCACTTGCATGCCGGAGTAAGCCATCTCTCTTGGGTATTAAACCAAATATGAGAGTAAACCTGCTCTGATACCAATTGTTAGGATCGGAGCGGCACTAAGAGGGGGGGGTGAATTAGTGCAGCGGATTAAAACTTGTAAGTTTAAAACCGAATTCGTAAATGCGAGGAGATTTTGATTCGACAATAACTTGAGTAAAGTGAGAAGATGAAAACGAAAGCTTGCTGCAGTGTAAATAACAATTTCAGAAAGGTAAGTACTCACACATTCAAAGAACACACCAATTTAAAGTGGTTGGGTCAAATGACCTACATCCACTTGCGAAGCCTTCTTCGATGAGGCTCCCAACTTCCACTAGCAAATCACTTTGAAGGAGAAGGACAAATACACCTCTTACAACTTTTACAAGTGGTTCACACTCTTACAAATTTTCAACGAAAAGGAAGGAGGTGAACACTCAAGCAGTTGAAAATAAGGCTTGCTAAAAACTTTACAAAGGCTTTTGTCTCAATCTATTACTACTCAAAAAGTTATATTCTCTACTGAGAATTGAGGGGTATTTATAGGCCCCAAGAAGTTTCAAATTTGGGCTTCAAATTTTGAATTCTCTTGGGTTCTCGATGCTGGCGGTGCCACCGCTTGTTAGTGTCTGACACTGATAGTGTACTGGCGGTGCCACCGCCCAACCTCTCGGGTGCTGGGCGGTGCTACCGCCTAGTCCAGTGGTACCATCGCCCGATCCTCGGGTTCTGGGCGATGCCACCGCCTGAATTGTTCCAGCTCACTAATTGGGCTCCAAACTTGGCCCAAACTAGTCCAAATTCGAGCCCAGTTGGCCCCTAACCAGATTATAGGATTAACTCTTAATCCTAACCCTAATTACATGCAAACTACGAAGTTAAGACATAGTCCTAAGCAAATCTTATAACCGACAAGTTAAGACATAGTCACCGCATGCGATCTTCCGATACACCCTCGAATTTCTTCCGGCGGACTCCCAGCACGCTCCCGATCTTGTGGCAAGTTCAGCGAGTGGCCGAGCCTTCTCGGTGATCTTCGCGAAGCTCCGACGATCTCTTCAGCGGACTTCTGAAAACTCCGACAAGTCCCCGATTTCCTCTCGGTTGGTTCCGGCAGCATCTCCGACGAATCTTCGAACTTTCGAACACCCATCAAACTTGACTCCGGTAGACTTGCTTTATGTCTTCAAGCTATCGTAGTTAATCCTGCATACTTAACTCAATAATATGGATTAGATCAATTAATCCATCAATTTATTTCATCGTCAAAATCCGAGATTCAACATCCATATGATGGATGCAGCTAGTCTCATAGTTGCTCATGTGGGGACATTGTGGATATAGTACAGGTGCTCATTGGAGAATGAGTTCATTGTTTGATCCGCTTACATAATGTTGGATGGTTGATGATGCCTTATTGTTAGATAGTAATTCCGTAGTCCCAATAGTGTATCTGGTCCTTAGACTTGAGACACCAAAGATGTCCTGTATGAGTACTCCACTCTTTAATACCGAACCTATAGGTTTGGAGGTTCCAAATCTAGCACAACCGGTCATTGGGAGTGGTAACCAACCTTACGAGGACTACTGAGTGTCGATAGACGATCATTTGGTCTTGGTGTCATGAGAGAAATATCTCATATATTCTTACTTAAATAAATCCCTAGCCAGGGTTATTCAGATTGAGAGAGAAAGAGTCCTCTGGGAGAATCCGATTAAAGCGAGACTTGAGTAAAAACCATACAGGTCTGACAATACCATGCCTGGTATATGGTCTTTGGGATATTAGATGGATGAGGGACTATAGGTATATAGTAATTGAGGACAAATAAGTCCAATGGATTGGATTCCCTTATATCGTTTGGGGACTATGGCGTAGTGGTCTAGTACGTCCGTAGTTGATGAGTCGAGTGAATTATTATGGAGATAATAATTCATTGAGTCAGAAGGAGTTCTGACAGGTATGACTCACGACTAGCTAGATATTGGGCCTAGAGGGTCACACACATATAGTAGACGTTGCAATGAGTAGAGGTTCGGATATGAGATATCCATCGGAGCCCCTATCTTATTAGATATCCAATAAGTCCCTAAATTATTGGATCCTATGGATGAGATCTAATAAGAGCCAATGAGAGATTATTGGATAGAGATCCACTAATCTAAGAGGCTTGGATAGTTTGATGGAGATCCAATACCCAATAGGGTAGGATCCATTAGGGTTAAGTTGACAGGGGACCTTTATATATAGGAGGGAACTAATGGTCCATAGGCTAGAGCCTCTCTCTGTTTTCATCTCCTATTCTTCTTCCTTCTCCTCCTCAAATAGCAGGCTTGGAGTTTTGAGGAGAATCGTTGTAGCCTTGCTGTGTTGATCATCGCTATAAAGGACGCTTGACCTCCTTCACCCTCTCCTAAAGATCTATAGGGATTTAGGGATATACGATCTCCCTAGGTAACATAATCTTTCATATACGTAGTTTTAAGTTTCACGGATTTTGCACACCAATCTTCGCACGACGACAAATATATCTTTGGAAAATTTGGGAATTTTGTTTTATGTTCTTCTGCTGTGCATGTGATGTCACCCCTAGATTTCCCAACAACCACCTCATACAGACCATTCGCGGTGGTGAAGGATAGGTGCACATGGGAGTCGTGGACGAACGCCGAAGCAGCGCCTCCTTGTCTGGCGGTATGCGAGGAAGCGCGGGCAAAGGACCATCTCTCGAGTTTCCACTAGTGCGTCCATGATGCGGTTACCTTCCACTTTCACTCGTTGATGGGACCTATTCAACAGCCATCTAAGAATCTTTCAACTACCCGTTTCTCAGACAACCGCTAAATAGGCCCTACTAACAAGCGGAAGCGGAAGGTAACCGCATCATGGATGCACTAGTGGAAACTTAGGAGACAACCGTCCACCCATGCTGCCTCACACTCCTTGCATGTTGCCAAATGAGGAGGCATCGGTTCGACGCTCATCTGTGACTCCCATGCGCACTTGTCCTCCACCACCACGAATAGTCTATACGAAGTAGCCACCATCCCAATTAAGAACCAATTCGTCGAGCGTTGGGTCAAGGCTGTCGGATCTCGCTAGGTTCCGCCTCAGGATCGTCATCTAGCACATCCTTCTTCCCCTTTATCCCATCATCCCCGACACAGTTCTTCCTCCTCGAGCAGCTCCACCTCTCTTGGCCAGCAGAAGATGACGAGGATGAAGCACACTCACGAAGAGACATTAGAAGATTTAAAAAAAAATTAATTATATATGTTATAATTTATTATGAGTCAACATAAATAAACTCTAACGTCTATTAACTCAGACTCGATGGAAAAAACTTATATATTTTTAAAAATATAAGAGTTATTTTAGACATAAATAAATCATAGGGATTTAAAAGATTTATGATCAAAATCACATAGCTAAAATAGACCTTAACTTATTTTTCATTTTTCACTCTCCATCCCAGCATACACACCAACTCGTTGATTCTAGACATGGGAAGAATCCCAATCAAGGTTGCAACCAATTCAATGGGAGAATTATATCATATACAAAGACCCGACACAATTTGTCCTCCATTTAAGAGTCCTATCGCAGTACATCAAGAGAGAATTGCATCACATCGTAGCTTAAGTCACGACACAATGCTCGACGGACGGCACTTCGGAGTCGTGACTTGAGACGTTGCCGCGTCGGAAGGATGCTGTCGCAAATGTGTGTCACGTGCGTGGCTCAGGTCCAACGAACTATTGCGAGGTCGGTCAACCAACGCCTCAACAGCGTGGGGACCAGCCCGTGTACACAATCACGCTAAACTGGTATTAGATCCTGTCACCGAGATCGTAATATTTGCTATTTGACTTATGGTGACGAACGATGGCACGTCGGCTGCTGATCGAGAACAATCACGGTTGACCCCATCACAGTCACAGGAGTCCAAATCTGACCAAGTCACTTGTATGTACACATGTATATATTTGCACACATTGGCTAAGATTTCATTCTATGTAAGATTTCTTTCGCAACCAATCCATCATTCTATTCAATTAATCTCGTACGAAGGAACGTAGTTCTGTGTTGTTACATTAGGAGAATGTGATGGCTCTTCTTTGACTTTATTTATGGATGAAAAGGGGAGTATTACCCAAACTTGTTTATGTATTTATAGATTCTAGCTAAGATGGTTAGAAGACAAAAGAACTCTTGTTTATGTAGAGGATATGTTGAGGTCTATACATCCATGAACGCTTAATAACTCAAATACTGAAGAAAAGCTTATGTTTAAGGATGTTTGTCGCCTGTAACGAAGAATAGTTCTCTGTCGGCGATATTGAAAATAGACATCAGGAAAAATTAGCTTTAAAGTTGGCCCAACTGCTTCGTTTTACACAAATTGAGACATAGAACAGGTCAACTCTTGCTTGCACATGTCCCCTTCACCTAGTGGGCCAAGTCAATCCTTTAGGAACCTCTCTCTATTCAAAATACTCATGGAGCTATCGATCCTCTATAAATGGGGATTTTGCCTACAAAGAAGCTAGTCCCCGTTCTTTGGAAGAAGAATCATCCAAATGGCTTCAAAGGCCTTCTCTAAGTCTTTGCTCTTCTTCTACCTTTCTCTGAGCCGTCAGCTCGCCAGCTTACTATCTCTCCACAGAAAAGACCACCTAAAGCTAGAAAAGAATAATGTCTCTTTGCGCCACCACCTTCACAGCAAAACCCTAGTGTTAGATGTGGGGGGAGGCCTCTTGAGGTCATCGCCCACCTTCCCTTACTTCATGCTTGTGGCCTTAGAAGCAGGATGCGTCTTAAGAGGCCTCCTACTTCTGCTTCTATACCCATTGCTGTGTTGCTTAAGCCAAGAGGTGGCCCTCCAAGTCATGGTCTTAGTGTCCTTCTTGGGGATCAAGGAGGAGGAATTCAGGGCAGGGAGAGCAGTCCTCCCCAAGTACTTGTTAGAGGATGTGGGGTTGGAAGCGTTTGAGATCTTGAGAAAGGCAAGGAAGAAGGTCTGCGTCAGTAACATGCCGAGAGTCATGGTGGAAGTGTTCCTCAAGGAGTACTTGGAGGTGGAGGTGGTGGTGGGAAGGGAGTTGAAGGTGTTTGGTGGTTATTACACTGGGCTGATGGAGGACGAGAGCAACGTGGAGAGCTTGGAGAAGATATTTGGTGAAGAAGAGTTGGATGGAGGCGTTCTTGGGTTTGGAAGCTGCATCAACTCTCCTCAGCACCAACTTTTCTCTTATTGCAAGGCGAGTTTTATCTGTACCTTGCGAAGTAAATATGATGTAATAATATGTAAGACTAAGTGTTCTTTGTGTTGGAGAATCTTTGGAAAAGAGGATGGATGTCAAGAAATTATAAAGTGATAATAGAGAAGATAATTCAAAACTAAAAATATATATTAAATATTAGAATTTATAATCTCTCGTCTCTCATGTTGATAGCAAGTGCAAATGCAAATCTAATTAGAAACTCTTATAATACATCTTTGGTCATGCGCTATCCTTCTGAGTGCAGGCAGTTCACGTGGCAACTGAAGCCGAGAAGAGGAACTGGCATGCCTTACCGAGAGAGCGATACCCAAAGCCCCTCGTGTTCCATGACGGCAGAATGGCCTTCAGGCCGACGCCAATGGCCACGCTAGCCATGTTCCTATGGCTCCCTTTCGGCATCTCCCTCAGCATCTTTCGATCCATCGTCTTCGTGTTCTTGCCCTTCGAGATCTCGTTACCCATCGGAGCCGCCACAGGAATGACCAACAGGCTCCTGAGCCCTCCTCCCACAACGACCGATGACGGCGGCAAATACAAGCTCTTCGTCTGCAACCACAGGACACTCCTCGATCCGGTCTACATCTCAGGGGCGCTCAACAAGCACGTCGGCGCCGTGACCTACAGCATCAGCCCCATATCGGAAACCTTGTCGCCGATCAGAACAGCGCGACTCACCAGAAGCAAAGAGGAAGACCGGCGCAGGATGGAAAGGCTGCTGCGGCAGGGAGACCTCGTGGTGTGTCCCGAGGGGACGACGTGCAGGGAACCCTATCTGCTAAGGTTCAGCCCACTGTTTATGGAGCTGACCGACGAGGTAGTGCCGGTGGCTGTGGCCACCAGGGTGGGCATGTTCCACGGCACGACGGCGAGCGGGCTCAAGGTATTGGATTCCTTCTACTTCCTCATGAACCCATGGCCGGAGTACGACGTGGAGTTCCTGCGGAGCATACCGACTGGGAGCTGCAGCAGCAACAGCAGGTACGAGGTGGCCAACCTTGTTCAGCGTGAGATCGCAAGTGCTTTGCGTTTCCAGTGCACCACGCTGACAAGGAAAGACAAGTATATGATGCTTGCAGGAAACGAAGGGATTGTGAACTCCAAAACAAAACACACTTCATAAACTCATACCAAAATCAGTGGATTATAGATGTTTTCTTCTGTTGCTTCAAGAAATACAGTTGTTTAGAGTCTATATCAGAGAAAGATGGTTGGATTCATTCCTTGTTCTGAGACCACTGCAGAATACCAAGTCATAATGATAAGATAACACAAGAGGGTTTTGTTATGTGGTGAGGACAAAGATGATAGAAAATGCATGGATTTTATCTGATTAACATATATTTTTATTATTTTTATAAAGATATCCGAAAGGCCTCAGAAATCCATATATGAGTGTCATTTAATATAATAAAAGAATATAAAATATAACAATAATCTATAGCTAATTATTATGCTATCAGAAATCAGTTAATAGCTTTAGAAGAGTCAGAGCCATTAATTGTACACATCAATATGCTATAAAGAACAAAGGCAAATGGGTGGATGAAGCCATAGATGAGAAACATCTATAATTCTCCATGTATATAATCAACATGTGTCTCTGACTCCCTCTTGTGCAAATTTCTAGAGTCGATAAATCAATAGTAATGAGAGAGATAAGTTCAGGATTGACTTTGTCTTCGTCTGCCTCAGAAAAGTTGGATCATTAGTCCTCGATGTGTACTACAACACCAGAAAAAAAAAACCAGAAGTCCTCACTTTGGTTCCAAATCACCGTGGATATTTCATCCGTTTCTTTCGCATATATGCAGAAGGTGACGTAAACTAGAAAATATAATTGCGCATATATTTTCCTTAAAGCAAATATGGATAATATATTGATCGAAAATAAAATTAAAAAATTATTTAAGATGGAATAAACTATTATAAAGCAATTTATATGCTACGATTAGGTGATCCTATATATTACGATTAGATTAGATGAGATAAATAGTAGAAATAAAGAGATACAAAAATATAATAAAATATTTAAATAGTTTTAATTTATCAAAGAATATTACATGATGGTGGAGGGATAATGTAAATAGTTACTGAGAAAAAATGACTAACTGAATTTTTATTGATGATGAATATAAATTTATATATATAAATAGACTACAAAATATAATAATTATATTTTTTATTCATTAATAAATATAAAATATTTATTAAATTATTTCATAGCATTAAGATCATGATCTTCATTATTAATAGGTCATGATAATTTGTTATCATAATTTGTATGATATAGAATCATGATAACATAGTATCAAAATATAAAGAGAATCATCGTAATCTTATCATGAATTATTTTTTAATAATATCTTTTTTAAAATGCTCTCACAAGATGGTGATCCTATCGGAGACACCGATCTTAGACCGAAGTAGAAAGAATTACTAGTAAGATAAAGGCTTAATAAGAGCATTTGTAAGCTAGTCAGAAGATAAAACATGAGACATGTAACTCACCATTTTGAACTTTATCACAAACAAAATGAAAATCAATAATTATGTGCTTCATGTGAGAGTGAAATACAGGATTAGCACATAGATATGTTGCCCCAATATTATTATAATATATAAATGGAAGATAGAGACTATGACAAATAGTTCATATAGCAATGATTGAATCCAACAAATTATAAAAGTAATCGCTCAATATTCAACCTCCATAAAAGATCTTGTAATAGAGCGTTGTTTCTTGAAATTCTAAGAGATTAGATTGTGACTAAGAAATATGATATAAGCACTAGTAGATATCTTGTCATCCTTATTACCTATCGAATCGGTATTCGAAAATGCATGAAGCAATAGAGGAGAGTCCTTTTGAAAAAATAAACTATGATCAATAGTGTATTTTAAATATGGAAGAAGATGTATAACAACTGTCCAATTATTAGAAGTAGGCTAGTGTATAAATTAAGATACTTTATTTACTGCATATATAATGTCCAAACGAGTAAATGTCAAATATTATAGACTATTAACAACTTAATGATCTTAGTAGCAACATTGAGATTAGCACTATCAGATAGTATAAGAGGAACACATAAAGAGATTGACATAGTAGCAGTATTGGCTTCAAGCATTTTGGTACAATCAAGAAGGTCATAAATATACTTTTGTTGAGAAAGAAGTAGATCATTTGTCATGTGGATTACTTGAATACCAAGAAAATATTTGAGAGACTCAAGATATTTGATAGAAAACTTATTTCCAAGCTGTTGAATAAACTAATTAATTATTACTAGTTTATTGCTTGTAATAATTAAGTCATTTACATAAACTAGTAAAGATAGTCAAGATATGATTATAACTTCATAAGAATAAATAAATAATGTATTATTAAATTTAGAATTATGAAATCCAAATAAGACTTGATGTGTTCAAAGTTCAAGATACCAAACACAAGAGGCCTACTTAAGATCATAAAGAGCCTTACACAACATACAAACATGTTAAGGAAGATTATAATTATTAAAGCATAAAGGTTGCCTCGTAAATATATCCTTAGAAATATGACAATGAAGAAATACATTATTCACGTCCAATTGTCGAAATCCCCAATTGTTAGACAAAGCAAAACATAAAATAATATGAACTATTATTGGTTTCACAACTAGGCTAAATGTGTTATGGTACTCAAGGCCTGGATGTTGATGAAATTTCTTTACAACAAGTCTTATTTTAGACTTATTAATAAAGTCATAGGGATTTCGTTTGATACGAAAAATTTATTTGTATACTATAAGGTTTGACTTAGATGGGATGAGACTAATCTAATGTATTGTTTCATAACAAAGTATTATATTCTTCAGACATTACTACTTGTCGTTTGGGAATTTTTAAGGCTTGGTTAATAGTACAAGGCTTAAAAAAAATATTTTGAGATTATTTTATGTAAATAAAAATATTTATTTAATTTAAAGACTTGATTTTTAGATCTAGTAACCATTAGATGAATTAGTGTAGGGTCAATGACATCTCTAGCATGTATTGGACAAGAAGAATTTAAAGTGGAAGATATTGAAGCTAAATCTTGTTGTGAATTCTCTTACTGCATGACACTACCATGAAATAGCTAGATGGCTGAGGTAACCTATTACTTATCATATACCATTGAGGAAGGACCTGGTGGGATTTGATTGGATAAAGTGTTTGGATTGGTGGGTGGGGTTAATGTTTCTACTTGAACGAGAATGATGATATGAGGTGGCTCATGAATTTGGAGAACTCAATCAATAAGGTTATTGGAAGTTAGTCTGAGTAAAAGAGAATAAAGTGATTTATAAGAAAAAATAGATTCCACAAAATAAACCTGACAAGAAATATAAATTCTTTTGATTATTGGATCAAAATATTTAAAGACACTTTGATTAGTGAAATATCTAAGAAAAACACATGGTTTTGATCGAGCTTTCAATTTTTTATAGAAGTAAGATTTTAACCATGGATAACAAAGATATCCAAAAACATGTAATTTACTATAGTTAGGAGTGGATCCAAATAATTTTTTAAATAGTGAATGTTGAATCTCGTATTTTGATGATGAAACTCCTTGATATATGTTTATGATTTAATCTGCATTTTGAGTGACGCAGGGTGCTTCGATCAGGATGAGACAATTAAAGCAGGAACATCATGTTGTGCCGGAGGAACATGTCAGAAGATTGGACGTCGGGCCGGTGGATCGGTCGACGTATCGACAGAAGGCTTCGGGTCGTGGACTCGGACATCGGGCCAAGAAGAGCGGGTATTA